TCTGATATTTCCAGACAGAACTTCAGTGTTAATTTTGATAAATGAAAGATTCCTGTCAGCTCTTTTTAGAAACACACAGATTTCTTTGAAGAATGCAAACAGGATTTTTTTTTTAAACAGTTGAATACGATTGCCTCTCTCTCTCTCTATCTATCTATCTATCTATCATCTATATCTATCTATCTATCTATCTATCTATCTATCTATCTATCTATCTATCATTGTATCATGCCTCTGAAGCCCCCAGCCACTAAGCCACAGTTGGCAAAAGACCTGATACCAATACAGAAACAACTGTTTGCCATGCTTATTGATAAATAGGGCAGGGACAGAAAACATTATTCAGCCAAGGAGTCAAATGCAAACATTTCCATATGACCAAAAGCCATAGTCTTCCCATAGAATGTCAGAAAAGCCCCCACTCCAAGCCTTCTATCAACCCTGTGGTCTTGATCAGAGGCCCTTCTCTGATGAATGTGGAAGGTGGCCACACAAGAACAGGCCTTTTCAATGTTCTCCCCAGGGAGACACAGCTGGAACCTTCCTTGTATGAATTTGGGCGCCCTTTGTATTTACTCAGGCCTTTCATAGAATCGTAGAGTTGGAAGGGTAATCTAGTCCAACACCCTCCAGTGGAGGAATATCAACTAAAGCATCCATGACTGATCCAAGCACCTTGGTCCACATCCTTGAGCCTTACTAACTGAAACTCATCCAACATAATAGGACTAGACAGTGCTCTGGACACCTCTTGAGATTCATCTGCCATAGCAGTGGAGTCAAGGTCATGGCATATGCAAGTGACAATCCTTATATGTCCCTTGCCTCTGCGGAGGGGAAAGGGTGCCGAAAGCCTAAATCTCAACAGGAAGTGGCCTGACCATGACAAGGGGTTGATGTCAATATAACCCATTTTCAGATCACCCTCTTCCTGCCCAGTTGAGGGGGGGAAATCCCAGAGTGGGGCTAGCCGGTGGCATGCATTCGGCCGGTGACAACTTGGGATAGCCCCATGATCATCATGGCAGCCATGAAGTTCTGAGACATCCAAGAGCCAGCCCCCTCAGAATGGATGTTGAAGTCCCTTAAAACCAGTAGTCTAGGAGTCCTCAACATCATTTCCTACACCAGCTCTGTCAGCTCAGGCAGGGAGATTGCTGGGCAGCAAGGCGGAGATGGTAAATCAGCAGAATCTCTAATCTGTCGAATTGCCAAATGCCAGGAACACACACTCTAGATTCATCCCACCCCTCCGCCAATCAACTGAAAAATGGAATAAATTGAGAACTCTCATTGTGATTTGGAAACCTCACTGTGAACTGACTTTAAGGTCAGTTACAGAGTGTTCTAGAAGCATGAAATTGGGACACTTCATAGTTGACTGGAAAGTGGCCATACTGAAAAGAAACTTCAGAGCGAAATTTGAAAAACAGTAATTAAAAGGTTCAATGTGAATCAATTTTTTAAAAATCACCCTACATGTGTTACTTGGCTTAACAACGTGGGGTTTTTTTGTGTGTGTGTGAATGGCCTCTGCTAGTAATATAATTATCACTGACTGTAGTTTCTGCATTTCATTCCCTCTGACTTCACTGTTTACAGTCCCGACTCAACCTAACTGTCTCTCTGTGTGTACAGTGGTACCTCGGGTTACGAACTTAATTCGTTTCGGAGGTCCGTTCTTAACCCTTAAGAATTTAACTGTTCTTAACCTGAGATTCGCTTTCGCTAATGGGGCCTCATGCCGCTGCCGTACGATTTCCCTTCTCATCCTGGGGCAAAGTTTGCAACCCAGAGCAACTACTTCCAGGTTAGCGGAGTTTGTAACCTGAAGTGTTTGTAACCTGAAGCGTTTGTAACCTGAGATACCACTGTACTTGTGGCTCAGGGCAATATTTCATGCATATTATGCATATGGAAGTTTTTAATGTCTGGTGTCTTACTGTGTTTTAATATGTTGGAAGCTGCCTTGAGTGGCTGGGGAAACCCAGTCAGATGGGTGGCATATGATGATGATTTCTACCAGTACAGTTTGCTTACTGCTATTTTGTTAGTTAAGTACTGTGTTACATTTGCTTTATAATAGAGAATTTAAAGCACGAATTTTAATGCAATCTTCTTCTCAGAGTTCTTTTTAGAAATATGCTTTTCTACTTTGCATTTATTAATGAAGAACATTTAAAAAAAATGCTGCTATTGTCTTTAGACTAAAGAGCGGAAGTAAGGTTAGTAAAGGGTTTATGTTTGTTATCCTTATGTTAGCTTTTAAATATTCATTATCTTAACAGCACAGCCATATTTTCTACTGAGAGTTGGATGATTGGGACATGATCACATTCAAGTCCCCTTGTCTTGGCATAACACGGGTAATTGCCAGCTTGTGCACTGAGTCAAAAGCTGTGCTGTTCCAGCAGAAGACAATTACACATGTAACTATGGCAGCTGAACCATGAGGCGCAAGGGGAAATATGGGCATGTAGGCCTGAAAGAACAGATGCTAGCTTATTTAGCATTTCAAGGTTGGAGTTGTCTCTTGTGCATCCATGTTCTAACAATGGAATACAAGAACACACCAAGGACCCATCAAGCCCAACAGCCTGCATCCAACATGACCAATCAGACATATTTGCAAGATGGAGTAAGTCATATTTTGTGTGGTTAAAACATCAGGTAATCACACATACGATAAGTATGATTAAGACTACAGTGCTGAAAATATGGCAATGCCAGTGAAATACAGTGGTACCTTGGTTCTCAAACATAATCCATTCCGGAAGTCCATTCGACTACTGTAATGTTCGAAAACCAAGGCAAGGCTCCCGATTGGTGCAGGTGCCCCAGAAACAATAGCCAACAGCCGCATCAGACGTTTGATTTCTGAAAAACATTCAAAAACCAGAACACTTCCATGTTTTTGGTGTTTGGGAGTCGAAATGTTCAAGTACCAAGGCGTTCGAGAACCAAGGTTCCACTGTACCATAAAGGAAGTGTTAGGCTTGGGCATGTCTACATTATGAAGCCGTTTCCAGAGGAGTAGCTGCATTGGGCTATAATCCTCATCCCAGTTACCTGGGAGTAAACCCAACTGAACTCAGTGGGACTTAGGCACAGTTAGAAATGTTAGTCTTACAGCAAAAACAACAAAAAGTATTGTATGGAACTTTACAGACTAACAATTTTTACTATGGAACAAGCTTTCACGGACTACAGTGTCTGCTTCACCAAATGCATGAGGTGTAATCCTCAGTTGCAGGGATGTAACATAGTTGCAAGGGTGCAGGGAGTTCTTTGCAGTGGGGTCAGGAGGAAATGAAAATGCAAAAAGAATAGATAGCAATGGTTTAATTAGGTAGAGAATGTATGCAAAATAAGCACAGTACAGTGGTGCCTCGGGTCACATACGCTGCAGGTTACATACGCTTCAGGTTACAGACTCTGCTAACCAAGAAATAGTACCTCGGGTTAAGAACTTTGATTCAGGATGAGAACAGAAATCACGCAGCGGCCGCGCAGCAGCAACGGGAGGCCCCATTAGCTAAAGTGGTACCTCAGGTTAAGAACAGTTTCAGGTTAAGAACGAACCTTGGGAACGTATTAAGTACTTAACCCGAGGTACCACTGTAGCTATTTACATCAGCACATTTGGGAAATGAGACAGTGCTGAGCTGACACAGAATCTGCTGGATCTCATCTGGCCTTGATGCTATCTTGTGACAGGACTGATGATCCAGATGGGCGGGGTATCAATGATGATCATCATGGTGATGCCTCTTTGTTGCAGCAGCCTGGGGACTGGTGTAGTAAAAAGCTTTCTCCCCTCTCCCATATTTTCTGCCCTGGCTGGTGGGGCTATGGATGCTGTGAGGGGGCTATGCTGCTCTGCCCCACTGCTGCTAACCAGGAGTTATGCTTGCACCCTTGGAGTTTAACTTATCCTTGGCGTTTAACTTATGGATGAATTGCAAATGTACAGTTTTAGGCTTGAGTCTCCCAGTGGCATTCCTTTGTTCCTATTTTCAGGTAGGTAGCCGTGTTGGTCTGACGCAGTGGAAATAAATAAATAAATAAATAATCTTCAGATACAGTACAGTGGTACCTCGGGTTACATACACTTCAGGTTACATACACTTCAGGTTACAGACTCCACTAACCCAGAAATAGTGCTTCAGGTTAAGAACTTTGCTTCAGGATAAGAACAGAAATCTTGCTCCAGCGGCACGGCGGCAGCAGGAGACCCCTTTAGCTAAAGTGGTGCTTCAGGTTAAGAACAGTTTCAGATTAAGAACGGACCTCCGGAACGAATTAAGTACTTAACCCGAAGTACCACTGTACACTGAAACAGAAGTCACCAGACTCAATTGACTGCGTCAGACCAACATGGCAACCTACCTGAATCTATTTACCATACCCATTTAGTCCATCACCCATCTACTACCCTTCTGAGGAAAACCCCACTCCACCCTCTCACTATATATAAGGGTCTGGTGACTTCTGTTTCAGTGTATCTGAAGAAGTGTGCATGCACACGAAAGCTTATACCCAGAACAAACTTAGTTGGTCTCTAAGGTGCTACTGGACAATTTTGTTATTTATGTTTATTTCGACTTTGTTCCTATTGCGATTGTTGCTGTTGTTATTATTATTATTATTACAGCGTGACCTGGAGGACTGATATGTTCCCCTACTGGCTTAGGGTTATATTGCCACTGATTTCTCCTGCCAGGCTTGAGGCTCTAGCGAAACCCTCTGTCACCTGCCACACAACACAGCTGCCATCCTGGGGCTCCCACACACTCTGTATATACAGAGCCGGTGACTGTCCTACTTCCTCACCCGCTCACTCGTCAAAGGAGGGAAGTGACCTGCGCGGCCTCATCCGCAAGGGGCGCTAGAGCGCCCACACCAACCCGCGAGCCCCATCCCTCCCTTTCCGTTCCGGCCGCGCATCTCAGCCTTGGCTCCTCCCACCTCCGGCGCCGCTTCTACGCCCCTCCCTCCTTGCGTGCTGACGTCTCCGGAGCACGAGCGCCTGCTCGCTGCCCCTCACGCGGAGGGAGGGGGGGGGGCGGCGGCGGCGCAGAGCAGTCTCTAATCGCCAGGCAGAGAGAGAGAAAGGCAGACGACGGCCGGCAGGAGGAGGAGGTGGCAGAGGAGGAGGCGGGAGCAGAGTGGCGACGGCAACGACGCTGCTTCTTCGGCTTCAACCGCCTGCGGAGGGATCAGGCACAGCGGGGAGGCGACTCCCGTGAGGGAGGTGAGTGCGCGAGTGAACGCTGCCCTTCGGGGGATGATGGAGGAGTCGGCGCTGTCGGCTCTATTGTGTCCGGGGCCTTCTTCGCTCGCCCCCCCCCCCCAGCGCCAAATCCCCGCCTCTCCGCGGCCGCTTCGCTTCTTCCGGGCAGCGGCAGACCCGAACAAAGGCCCCGTGTCGTCGTCGCCGTCGTCGTCCGCGCGCCCCGAGTGCACGAGCCGGCCTCTTTTTTTGGGGGGGGGGGAGGAGGTTCGCTCGTCGGCCCTCCCTCTGGGTCACCTATTGGCTCCGGCCTCTCGTCTCCCTCTCCCCTCGGATAGTCACTTGTTTGGGGAGCCATTAGCTCCCTCCCTCCCTCCAGCCCCCGACATGCGCAGCCACACTGGGAAGGTGCGTGGGGTATCCTCCTCCTCCTCCTCCTCCTCCTCCTCCTTTTTTAATAGTGTTATGGGGAGGGGGGGTGTTTCTCTGCCTGACCATCCTTGCTGTCAACTGCGCATTTATTTCCTAGAGATGTTTTTCTTCCTCTCTCATACATAGCCTCAGTCGCTGCTGTTGCTGCTGTTGTTTTTCCTGGAGGTGGGGGGAAGCGTAAAACAAAAAAACAAAAACCGACTCCCTCCCCCTCCAGGCAGAATTTGGGGAAAGGCTGTCGTACTTGATACTAATAATAATAATAATAATAATAATAATAATAATGTGCGATGACAACTTCTTGTTGGGCCGATTGTTGTTTACCGTGGAAAGCTCTCTTCCAGGATTTTAAATACTGGTTGGTGGAAAGAGATATTGTTCCACTTGTGCTTTTCCTCTCAAATGAACGGGGGGGGGGGTGTATGAAAAAACACACACTGCCCTGGCTCTCCCGTTGCTGCGCCACCTTTGAGGGGAGGGGACTAGAACAAAGAGCCACATGATACCATCGTTTGATACAATTGACAGCAGCTGATATTCAGGAACTGTCATTGTGAGGGGTAAAATAATCCGTATGAATATGATATTGTTATAAACTGAGAGAACGGCTGTAGTTGAAAAGCAGTACAGAAATGCTTTTAAATGACCGTGTCATTTGTATGCTTTTAATTTTACTTTTTTTCAAAATGTTTTTCAGTTAAGAGAAAATGAGATGCTTGGCTAAACATAAGTATTTGGCCATGGGGCCTATTGGTAATTGTTTCTAATTTGAAAGGACTGCAGTTGGAAAACTTTACATTTAAGTACTGTAGTAGCTGCTGCATAAGGTATCAAAATCTAACCTTGTTTACGTATTTTTGCCACAACCACATTTTTTTTTGTATTGAGATCAAATTGTTTCCTGCTTGGCAGGGGGTTGGACTCGATGGCCCTTGTGGTCTATTCCAACTCTATGATTCTATGATTCTATTCTATGAAGCTAGCTCAATTTGAAATAGTTCAAAATATGTAATTTTCAGGTAACATAGCCACAGCTTTTGGAACAAGAGGTTTGAAGTTTTAAAAAAGTGAAATGATACAGTTTGCTGGACAAATTACTTAGGCCATAGCTTTTTTAATGTTGATGGATGTAATTGGAGGTGTACTCATTGACAATGTGAGTGTGTAAAGGTGCTTCATAAGTCCTAGAAGTATTAAATACTAAATGAAGAGAGGACTATCCTGACCTGGAAATCATTGAATGTGGTTCATTGTAGCCCATAAGAGATGGCTGAAAACATCAGAGGTGCCCTGATCCAGGTAACTGTAGATACAGTATGCTGCTTCATGTCCATTGCTGCCCTTTGCACTGCACTCAACACAGCTCAGTTGAATGCAGTAATGCATGTTAGCCCACAGGTGCTGGCCCATAACTAGATTTGTACCATTCATCTTTTGCACCTCAGAACAGTAGACATGCAAGTGGAAGCTCAATAACACTAGCTTTGGATTGAGAATATTGGTTTGATAGTTCATGTCCTGATCCTAAATTTATATTGTTAACATGAAAACATGGCCTCATGTTAGGGGTACTGTATCTAGCTTTTTCTTTCAGCCTTTCTCAATGACTTTGCAAGACTCCTGATAATATTTTCAATGCTTTTTCTTTACTTAAAGCTAAATTGCAATGAGATAACATGGATAGAAAGCACCCAGAAGTACTTTGCTTCCATGATTCACAACTCTGAAATCTGACAACTAAGTGCTTTTAATGCTGCTCTTTATAGCAGTCAGTTTGAGTCTTGCTGTTTCCTCTGTGTATAAATGGGAGGTGAAAATAAGTTCCTGGTCTACTTTGTAACAAACACAGGAGATTGCTTCTGTGCTGAATCTGGAATACTATTGGGAATAGATAGTAAGGAGATCTTATATTTGAACAGCAGCAAATTGGGTAATCTAGGCCAGAATAATAATTATATGCAGTGTGCCTATTAGGATGCTTTAATGTGCTTTATACATAGTTTTTTTGTTTTTTTTACCAGAAGTAAGATGGGCTTCTATGTTTTCGCTTTGTTCATATTTGATCTAGATGACAAAGTCCAAATGAAGAACAACACAACAACAGACACATGGGTTAAAATCTGGTGGCCACTGAGAATACATGATCAGAACCAAAAAACATTTAAGAACTTCCGTAAGCAGCACAATAAAGTGAATTGAAATGGAACCAGTATTTTCCCACTGGAACACATCACAGTAGGATATATTCTGTATCTGAATTTAGAATTGAACATTCTGGGTCTGTAATCAGTTTCTGCTGAAATGAGAGGGCAAATTGCTTTTGCTCCTACTAAGTAATAAATTGATTTGACTGTGATTGTTGAAATTTATTCTGTTTTAGAGAAATGCCATAGCATGTTTTTCCTGATGCCTCTTGGTCCACAAGGCCTTTCAGTTGTACATGTTCCATCAATTTAGTCTTTTTTAAAAATAGAGCACATTATTTTTAAGCTTTTTAGAAATTTGAGATGAGATACCCAATGATATTCAGCTTTAGAACTGTGGCTGCATATGGGAAATCAGGTTGGTATCAAGGAATATCAACTCAAAATATATGCAAATAAATTTATTGTGCATAAAAAGATGAACACACATATCCTTATGAAAGATAGTTAAAAAAAAATTACCTACAACCCTACTAAAGGGTAAAGGGACCCCTGACCATTAGGTCCAGTCGTGGCTGACTCTGGGTTTGCGGCGCTCATCTCGCTTTATTTGCCAAGGGAGCCGGCATACAGCTTCCAGGTCATGTGGCCAGCATGACTAAGCCACTTCTGGCGAACCAGAGCAGTGCACGGAAACGCTGTTTACCTTCCCACCGGAGCGGTACCTATTTATCTATTTGCACTTTGGCGTGCTTTTGAACTGCTAGGTTGGCAGGAGCAGGGACCGAGCAATGGGAGCTCACCCTGTCGCGGGGATTTGAACTGCTGACCTTCCGATCGGCAAGTCCTAGGCTCTGTGGTTTAACTCACAGCACCACCTACATATCCAAAGAAAATAGTCATTTATCAAATGCAGATGTGCAAACAACTCCTGGTATCTTATGCTTTCTTTCCTGAGAAAAGTGATAGCATGTTTTTATTAATGCCTATTGGTCTGTAAGTGCTTAGACTGGAGCATAGGGTAGATGAGAGCATCCTATATGAGTATAGTGCCTCATATTGGGGGACTTAATGGCAATGATATTAGACAGTAGTAATTTCAAAAGAGAGAGACTCTAATCCCATGGATTTCACTGGTTCCACTAGCTGTATGCCAGTGCCCTTGATCTAGAGAAGTTGGCAAATATCAGAGTGAGCACCTGAGTGCAGGTGCTATTCGCACTGCACTGTTTTCAGTGGGATGTTAATCCTCTCCCTATAATAAACTTTTGTAGGAAAGCAATTACAGATGCCAGTTTTCACTTGTATGACATAGAAGTCATAGTTTGGAAGGAAAACTAATGAATAGACAAAATGTCCAGGTTGGCATAAGCTATTTTCCAGAAGTGCTGCTGGCTGTCATTGTGCAGTACCTCTTATGAACCATGGCACATATATTTGCAAAAAGTTTGTCAAGCTGTAAGATTGGGGGTGTTTTAAGAATGGTTGATGTAATATATTATTATTTATTATTTATTGCCAAAGTTCATGGACTCCCAAAAAAGTTTCATGACACCACAAATCATACACATGTCCAGAATAGTGTCCTTTTGATGTGGCAATGAATTGTGTCTTTTCCAGCAATTTGGGTGCAAGACACTATCAAAAGTATCACTTTATCATATAACAGACAAAATATGTAAACAGGAGCTGGAGTTGTGCACTCCACAATAAGGAGACTGTTTCCTACAATATGACATAAAATAAACTTTGAGAGTCTCATTGAGAATTGTTTCCAGGAGATGTAGATATATAAGTTATAGTGGCCCAAAGCTGAACTTTGTTCTCTCTTATTTCAGCAATTATTGGCATTATTATACTATAAGCACAAGGAACTTTAAAAACTTTGATTCACCTCAAGTGGTACAGGAGAGTGTCTTCTACAAGATGACTTAAAATATGTCAAAATATATAGAATATAGTCAAAATATGTAGAAGAGAATAAGGAACTGTGGGCTGTGTACCCCATAATATATTTGTCCTACCACTAATCATATAAAACATACTCAAGATATATGTCCTGTATAAGGTGGCATAGATTCTAATAGGCTTCATATTGGGCACAATATGTTTTCTAGTGTATGGCTTCACACCAATAACTACAAAAGGGGTATAAACTAACTCAAGATGGTTTGAGTGTATTTTTGGGGGTGGTCCAAGGATTGTTGTGGGAGTGCTTACTCCACCCCACCCCTGTTCCTTGCTAATTTATAGGTACAATCTCCAGGACATTTGAGTGTATTATTTGAGGTGGCATAAAGCTTTTTGTAGGATACCCCCCCCCCATCCTGTTCTTCCTTTTTCATATTTTGGCTACTATTGACCTTTGATGTGTTTAGCATCCAGAGTTTTAGTCCAGATACAGTTCACTGCTGTGTTATAGAGGTCAGTGTTCTCAATCTGTTT